CCAGGCTCAGGGAGAAAAGCATGTTCTTAGCCCCCAACAGGAGCGTCGGAAGTTCAAGAGGATGAGGCTGGCACCTCCTTGAGGAATTCACGGTGTTGTGGCTGGCTGGCTTGGGAACTAGGGTTCAGTCTGGGGAGACTATGTCAGGTTTAGCCCAAAGTACTCCAAGAGACAATGCAAATTCAGTTCTACTGTGTTTATTAGCTACAACCTCTAGACAGAAAATTTCCCCAGACTGAAACCTATCTCCCAAGCCAGCCAGCCACATACCGTGAATTCCTCAAGGAGGTGCCAGCCTCATCCTCTTGAACTTCCCACACTCCTCCGGTGAACTAAGAACACGCTTATCTCCCTGAGCCTGGCCTTCATAATTCCATTCCATCACAAACCACCTAACACAAATCGATATTGCCCTTATTACAATACTTACATCCACATACCTGTCCCTATAATGCTATATTGACTTGTCATATGGTTATATTGCAGGGATACATTGCCATATTATACTGAATCTTTAATACGCTTCACAAAATGTTCTCTTCTCCTCCACTAGGGGTCTCCCTCTCTGGCTGCAGAGACCATAAGTAGATAGGAACTTAACCCTACTTATTTTATTTAGAAAAAAATTATATGGCTGCCTACCTTAAACAAGGTTTGTTGCCCAGCTAACAAACAGTACACAGAAAACCCATTTTCTACATCAATACAGAACAAAACAAAATCCTGTTAAAATGATCATAATACAAAAACCAAAGGAAGTATTCAAAATAAATTATAATTGCAACAACAAACAATAATCTTTTCTTGTTTCATCCTAGTGCTAAAACCCTTCACCTAGAAAAGAGAAAATAAATCAGATCCTGGGTCTAAGTCTGATTTAAAATGTTCTACTCATTCCTTCTGTCTGTTTCTCTTCTCTACTCCCAGTAGCCCCCAACAGCTACTGCTAGAAACTTATCCTATGTATTTTTCCGTATCCAGCATGAAAACATGAACAGATATCATTTTTCCTGGTTAACCTGACACTAGGTTAATGTCAGGTTCAGACATAATGGAAAAGTCTAGGATTTTTCTTGGTTAACCTGACACTAGGTTAACAGTTCAGACATAATGGAAAAGTCTAGGATAAGCCAGGATCTTCATATTAAACCAGCACTATAACTGGGGGGTGGAGAGGATATGAACCCTGTCTTCATTATCTCAACAGACCCAGAGGATTTATTTTACTTGCTTATATAATAATTTAATTTCCTGAAACTTTCAAGCAGCACCAGTTTTTAACATCTGCTTTATTTTGACCACAAGAGGAACAAAACAGACAGGAAAGCTGTAGAAAGCTAACAAACTAGATATTTTAAAATAGGAAGCAATGGATTTTTAAACTTTCCACTGAAGTAAACTCTTTCTACAGCAACATTTTCTAATAATACTAATCTGCCATACAGTAGTAGAAAGACAGTGGAGGATGTTTTATATTTTCAATTTACATGTAACCTTAACTAAGCATGTTTACCTTGACTCCTTGTATACTTGGAACGATCACTAAAATGCACACTGTCCTATGCTGGCAAACTGCCCATAATTACTGCAAGGTCCTTCCGAAAAATTGATTGGATGTAATGGATTTTCTCATTTAGAAACCTTTGATAATCTTCCAAGGACCTTCGGTCTTTCCTTAAAACTGCTGCAGTGAACAGTACCACAACGAAGTTTTGACAGCATGATCTTTCATTTTTCAAGGCTTTTAGCACTCTGGAAGATCATGTTGCAATAGCTTTTATTAAAAATAAGTGCCATATTCTGTACTTTAAAAAAAAACTACAGAAACATAACCAAATACTGTAATAAGGAAGTTTTCAAAGGGAAAAACACAAATCCGTACAATCTTGCAGGGCCTTATTTCTGCTGGCTATGGAAGGGTAAAGTAATTTTTGTGGACATTTGCAACCCTGGATTGGAATCCTACCCTCTGATTACTGAAAAACCAGCTCAACGTGCATATATATACAGGCTTGGCAGAAAGTGCCTATTCCCCCTCTGCCTTAGCTAGGATAATAAATTAAAAAGTTACCTTTCTGGTTTTTCAAGGAAAAGCTGAAAATCACAGGGTAACTAGAGCCAATTAAGCGCTTGCTCAGTATAATTGCAGAATGAGAAATTATATGAAGCCTTGGTCATGTTGCTTTAATTCATTTTCCACAGATGCCACATCAATCTGGCTGCCAGCACTGATGCTTTTACATGAAATCTGAAATACAAGGAAAGAGGTTGTCTGGTCATTGTTAAAGGACCATGAAAATACTTGCATTTCTTCTGCAGAATGGTCTGACCCAAAAAAGTCCAAAGCACATCTCACTGTTATTATTAAAAAAGTATCCCCATGAGTCAATAAATATTTGATCAAATTAATGAATTTTAATGGAAAGAAAAAGTTCCCTTTAAGCCAAGACATTCTGAAATTGAAAAGGAATTTAAAATTTAATTACAAGTCAGAACCTCCATTGTTGCAGAAATGTTACTTCTGGAGGTCTTAGCAGGGGCTTTCCAGCACAACTATTGTAGCAGGAGCTTCCACGGCTATTGCTTTGGGAAGGAGTTGAAACCTTGCATAACAAGAAGGTTATGGCACTGTACTAATTAAAAACATACTGGATAAATAATAGAACATAAAATTGCTACTGTAAGGAATAGTTTAATTATATACGATAAACTTAGGCACCTTTTTAAGTTGCATACTGCATTATCATCCAAGTTTGCCAGCCCTAACCCAGCATTTCTCAAGATTTGGTAGTTAGCAGCAGGGAAAGATGAGAAATCAGGTCCCTCAGAATTTTGAGACATCTTTTCTGATTCGGTTTAGCGGTTTGCAAGATTCCCAACTCAAATTACACCTAGAAGTGCACACCCCAGGGGAAGTACATACAAAAATGTATTTTCCTATTTAAAAAACATTTGTAAAACATACAGACAGATGGATGCATGAAAACAAATGCTCTGGAAAAGAGGGCATACAAAAATACAGACAGCGATTTGTGCAAATATTTGCTGCCAACTTTGTTAAAAATGGGGCCAAATTTGCAATCCATAATAAAAGAAATTCAGCAGAACCAAACTGATAGTAATAATCAGAACATAAATAAGGCATGAATGCTTACTCATTTGTTCCCCCATTAAAAAAAAAAAAATCAGAACTAGCATAGCTGGGAGATTTGCAATACAAAGGGACAGTTTGTTTCCTGTTTATAGAACGTTCAAAACTGAGTCACACACTTTCAAACGGTACAGGTATAGATTTATTTATTTATTTATTTAATTTACATGCCGCCCATCTCCCCCAGATTTAATAAACAGCTGTGTGTGAAATATATTACATGAACACACAAAATAGGGTCCTGTGTATGCATGGCCTTAATGATGACTGAAATTATACAATCACAAAAATCCATTCTAAAAAGGAGTATTTTTTAAATTATTATTATTCAATGGGAATTCTCCAGTGGTTGTGGCACTGCAGTCCAATTCCTCATAAACATCCTAATGAGAGAAACAGGAATGTCAGATTTTTGTAAATAAAAAGAAGTCTGCTTTTTAACGCATTGCGATTTTTTTCTTGCAGATTCTCTTGATCAAAAGGAAAATACTATACAGAACAATTAGACCACTGTTGCCACCTACAGAGAATTATGTATAGCACAACATGGCTTATGTGTTGTGCAAAATCAAGATACAGTCCTAACAGAATGACTAACTCAATATAATTCTTTCCTATCGTTTGACTGAAACTAGGTTGCTGACAACAAGCACTACTCTTTATCTAGCTGGGTAAGTCTTTGTACTTCAGAGTACAAAGTGGAATACATCTGAACAAATGTCATAGTCTCTTTCCAGCACTAAATACAAACGACAGAAGTCCCTTTGAACTTTTGAAACTTTAAATCTACCCAAAGCTTTCAACCACACAATTCACAGAGGAAGTGATACCTTTTTCTTTCTAAAAAGAATGCCTAAAGGTGCCAATTCTCACGTTTCATCCAAGAAAACATTTTTTATAATTTGCATCCAGATTTTAAATGAACTTCTGCTAGGATGAAGAGCCAGCATAGGATTGAGGTCCATGCATCTTAAAGTTGCTGAGGTTGAGAAACACTGAGCTAAAGGATACTCCCAACTTTGTATATGGATTAATCCACTGCAGTTTCCATGCAAGCTTGATAGGCTGTCTTGCCCTAACACCTATACTACACTGCCTATGAGCATGCAGAAAAATATTGTACAATTTGATCAGATGGTCCCCACCATGCCCAATAAACATATAATAAATTTGTTCTTCCTGTAGCAACCACCGTTGAATGGACTCAATCCTGAGTTATAAACTTTGAATCCAGACAATTACACAATGGTCAGCACCCTTTAGATAAAATCAGATCTTATCACAGTGGATACAACAACAAATGATCCCCCAAGGGTCAAATTCTATGAAATACTGCAGCCAGTATGGTAACTGAAAGTGGTCTGCATCAAAGAAAAGCAGAATGAAGTAGTTTTTCCCTTGTTAGCCACTTCCTTCTTCCCAAAACTCTCCCCAGCTACATTTCTCTTCTGTGAAATAACCATGAGTCCCAAACATGAAGGGGCTGGGAAAGGGGGGGGGGGTATTGCAGGGGAAAGCAGCTCGCTAAAAAGCACTAAGATTTGCTTTCCCCAGCCTCTTTTCTCTTATAAAGTATTGCTCCTAAAAAGTGTTTTGTAATAAAAAAAAAAGGCATATGGGTAACAATATGGTACATTTTCATTTATGGGAAGATTTCCTGCGCTATCAAGGTATAATGTTCCTTGCTCAACTGAACTGGAGTGTAACAAATAAAAACTGAAAAAATTATATTAGCAATACTCTTATGATATCAAGTCCTGTTTGTTCAAATACCTTTTCATTACATTGCAACATATACAGAAGAAAACATCAATTCAGAATCCTAAATGTTTATATAGCACTTATGCAATCTTTCAAATGCCCAAGGCATCACATAAACAATATCTAAATGTGATAGATGGAGGACGTTATGATGTTTCTCCATATTTCAGCAGGGAGCTTATTACAATCTTTCTCAGTCTTTGCAAGGTCTTTTTAAATCAAAAGCTCTTATATGTCTATTGTTCTGAGAGTTTAAATATTACAAAGACAAAAGCTTCCGTCCTGGACAATCCACTTCTGCCAAAACATTTAGATATATTTGCAATGCTGCAGTACAGATTTTCTTAAAAGCAGTGCTACTGATAATTATTTATAATCAGTAAGCCTTAGAAATTAATTTGTTAAAATCCAGTATTACTTTAATTTTGTAAATTCTAGAGACATTCTCTCTGGATTTTGTTAACCCTGTTTTTGATGGGGTCATGAGCATTCAACGGTGGTTGCTACAGGAAGGACAAATTTATTATATGTTTATTGGGCATGGTGGGGACCATCTGATCAATTTTTTGTTGCTGAATATAATGCACGTTATATGGTATTCTATTTGAATATTATTTGGTGCCATTACAGTTCAACACCTAATTTCAACAACTGACCGTCTAAAAACAGAAATTTATTTATCCCTAATATTATGAACAGGACAAAAAAGGAAATCATTTCAATTCTACAAGATGAATATGAGCAAATCATTTGCCAAGCACAGAAAAGGAGCCTGAAAGTGCCACAAATTAGGGCCTTTGTAATAAATGCAGTTGTAAAAAATCCTCAGCCACAAAACTTGCTCTAACAATAATAATCACAAAAGAAAAAGGCGGTCCTTGTAATGTTACAAGGCTTTATATCCTTTGGTTGCTTGTGTAAAACAATCAACATTTTTACTAGAAAGTCAGAGGGGGATCCAATATCAATTTGAGCTAGGAACCACCTTCAAGAAACTACTGAACTTCAAGGTTCAGAATGTAACCCCTTCCTCCAGTTGCAAGGTAAGGGACCTTCCCAAATCATAAGCATTTGAAGCAAGAGTTCAGCACAACTAGGGAGACAAGTCCTCTTCTATTTCCCAAGTGAGATGAAAAGCTTATCCTTGTTGCACTAGCTTTGGAGGCACTTGGAAAGCAAACTGTTATCTCAGCACTTCCTGAGCCATTATGTTAGGGACAGCTCCTATCTTCCTCACAGTATCAGGAAAATGGGGCCAACTGGTAAGCTAATTTCTGAATCTTCAGATGAGTTATAAATGACACTTCATACTGCTTCAGTATATTAATGCTAGTACAAGGTGTAAAAATGGCTATTCTCAAACAGAAGTGTCATTCAATGTAATGCATTCTACAGTATAAAACAATATGGTAGCAAAAATGGTATATTCAGCATTATGTTGGCTTGCAAGAAAAGTTTTAAATTAGAAACTAAGTCTGTGTAGAATAGTGTGCCATGATTATGGTAAAATTGGGCTATGGTTGTGCTTATGGACTACTAACCAATATATTCCAAAAGTGACTAGCATTGTCCTAATCATTAACAGGGCAGGTTGTGTACGATACAAGAAAAAGCCACTGAAGTTACTAACCTAGTCTATATTCTACTAAAAACTGTTATGTGAAAGCCTCAATTGACCAAAGCCATCATGGTCAGCAATATCTAACAGCCAGTCTGGTAATGATCATGCCATATGGATTGTGACATGGACTATAAGAGGAATAAATGGTAAAAAGTATGAATAAACACATGAAATGAATGAAAGGAGAATAGATACATTGTGTGTATATGAATCTAGGAGGAAGGGAAGGACATAATAGATCTGAATGAAGGTATGTATCTTGATTTTGTGGAGGGGAGATGATGAATACAAGCAGGAAAATTAAGTACACTGAGGCACTTCGGTCATGTCAAAGAATGAATGAGGATTGAATTGCAAAACAATATATCAGGAAGAGTAATTGGATTGAACAGAAGGGAAAGATCAAGAAATTTGTGGCTGGATGAAGGTGATGAAATCTTCAAAAAAAGAGAAGTGAGAAGTTTAAAAAAATAAAAGATAATGTATGGAATGATATATGGAAAGGTCAAAGCAACAAGGTTCACAAGGGTAGAACCATATGGAGACATATAGCAAATGGCATTCATGTAAACTAGTTTTAGCTGTATTTCCTTTTTTCTCTTTCTCTCATTTTATGTCCTTAATTCTTCTGGCTTAGTATTTCTTATTCCTTTTCTGTACTTTGCATAATGCTGCTTATCTCAAATAAGGATATATGTATATGTACACACA